AAATAGTATTTAAATAGTATTTAAAGTGTACTATAGTATTTGAATAGTGTTTAAAGTGTACAATTCAGTTTTTTAGTATATTCACAGAATTCTATAACCATCATCACAATCTAATTTGAGAACATTTTTGTCCCCTCTAAAAGAAACCAAACCCCATCTCCCTCCCAGTCTGTACCCCCAGCCCTAGTCAACCACAAATCTACTTCCTGTCTCTATAGAGTTAGGTGTTTTTTTGTGACTGACTTTTTTCACTTAGCATAATGTTTTCAAGGTTCATCTATTTTTGTAGCATGTGGCAATACTTCATTCCTTTTTATGGTCATATACTATTACATTGTATGGATAGACCACATTTTATTTATCCATTCATCAATTGATGGACATTTGGGTTGTTTCCACTTTTGGCTATTATGAATAATGTGCTATGAACATTCATGTACAAGTTTTCGTGTGGACATATGTTTTCATTTTTCTCGGGTATATACCTAGGAGGGAAAATCTTGGGTCATGTGGTAACTCTATGTCTCACTTTCTAAGGAATTGCCAAACTGTTTGGCAAAGGAATTGTATCATTTTGCATTCCTACCTCTGATGTATGAGGTTTCTAATTTCGCTACATCCTTGGCAACACTTGATGTTGTCTTTTTGATTATAGCTATCCCAGTGAGCATGCAGTGGTATCTCATTGTGGTTTTGATTCGCATTTCCCTCATGGCTCATGATGTTGAGCATCTTTTCATAGCCTATTGGCCATTCTATGTCTTCTTTGGAGAATACCTATTCAAATATTTTGCCCATTATAAATTAACTTATTTGTCTTTTTATTATTGAGTTGTGAGAATTCTTCTGGATACAAGTCCCTTGTCAGAGATGTAATTTGCAAATCTTGTCTCCCGTTTTGTAGGTTCGTGTTCATTTTCTTGATAGGATTGTTCGCAGCATTAACATTTGCAGTGTTGATGTGGTCTGGTTTATCTATTTCTTTGTAGTTGCTTCTGCTTTTCATGTCATATCTAAGAAATGATTGCCTAAACCAAGGTCACAACGATTTTATAGAATTTTTAAATACATTATTTTATTCCTTTATTTTTAACTGTATAGCTAGTACTGCCAGGCTTTTTTAAAAAATAGAGACCCCTCCAGGACAATACTTGTGGAACACATTCTTTTGAATAGCTGCATAATATTCTATGGCATAAATTTACCCTAATGTATTCAACCATAACCTATTGATGGGCATAAAGGCTTATTTCCAGTTTTTTGGGTTTTGCCACAAATAAGACTGCCAAAGTCCTTGTACATTTGTTACTTTGTTCTGGTGCCTTTATTCCTGCAGGATACGTTACCCAAGATAGAATGAGAAGCTTCCACTCACCTAAATCTAAGTTAAGATTTATCCTACATTGGCATTTGAACACTCTCATCAACTGGGTAGGAAAAAGGCTTCTGAAACCTCTATGAAAGAGATTTTCGCCACAGCAGATTCGTTTCAGAGAGCTGAGTTGCTCTGTGATCTGTTACTCTTTCATCAGCTTGTTCATTTTACCTTCTTTAAGGTGAGAGAATGGACTGCTTTCCACAGAGCAACAGAGTGGCAGAAATGCAGAAAAGCTTGGAAATAGCCACAAGAAATGTCTGCCCTTGTGCCCTGTTGCCATTCTGCCATTGAGATTTATTGTTTGTGTTTTCTTTGCCAAGCACTGCTAAAACAGAATTTAGGGGCCACAGAAAGCTACTGACTCAGCCAGAGTCTGTTGGTGTATAAACTGATAGGGTCTCTCTGGGGAAAGTGGAGCCTGTGCTCCCTCTTTGCTGAGGTCCCGTACAGGTTTTTAATTGTATCGTTGAAAGGGGGATTGGCAGGGCTAAGATGGATTCACCTGATGTTTTTCGGATACTCGTGACAGAATAAAGACGTTTTAAAAATAAAAGTCAAACAATTGAATATAATTTTTATATCATTTATAACTATTTGTTTAAAAGGAGTGAAAAACTTCTAGGAGCTTTAACTGATATCCCGGCCCTGTGAAATCTGTGTTAACAGAATTAATGTTTACCTTTTCATTTAGAAGAGGCAGAGTGGCAGACGAGTGTTTTAGTATTTTTAGATTCTTTTAAGAGCCCTTAGTGGCCTATCATATGGACTCTTTGTTGAAACACACTTGGCCTTGTTTTAATAAACCTTCAAATTGTTGCCATTGTTTACCCTTTAGCTGGAAGGCCACTTGAGTGCCTTAGTGACTGATTGAGGTTCTCAGTTACCTTTAGCTTCATTTAAGAATTTTTTTCTGATGGCTTTAGGATCTGTCATTGCTTCCTATGAGTTAAACTAAGCAAATAATTTGTAGGAAATTGACAACCAGAAGTGCTCTTGAGGGCATTTTTTAAAACTTTCTATCAAATGGAAACTTTAAAACATTTCAAAAGTAGAGAGGGTAGTGTACCAAACCCCCAGGCGCCTGTGACTCATCTTCACCGTTTATCATCTCAGAGCCGCTTCTGTCCCATGGTTCTGTGGGGTCCCGCATGGCGGCCACTAGGGCTGCGGCTGTTGAGCACTTGACCTGTGACTCGTTGCAGTGAGATGTGGCCCAAGTGTAAACGCTGCTCCCAGCACGTTTGGATGTTGTGCGCTCCCCACTGGGGGCCCCTCAGAGAATTCCTCCCTGATCCTCAGAGCTCAGCAAACCTGCCCCTCAACCCTATTCTCTAAGCCTCCTGTTTATTTCCTTTATAACACTCTTACAACTTGTAGTTATTTAATTATTTGACTTGCCTGGCAAGTTTCGGTCTGACTCGCTACAAAAACGTCCCCTCCAGGATGGGTGGGGCCCGACATGGCCTCCCAGGTGACTTCCCAGGTGACACCCCTGTGACTCCTCGGTGACTCCCCAGTGACGCCCTGGTGAGTGAACACATCACAGCAGGAATGCTCAACTCAGGCACGTCCAACACCTCCTCCATCTCCTTTACCAGCTTGATGGGAAACTCGTAGATTACAGATATTATCCACCCACATAAGTAAAAATAAATAAATACAATGCCCTAATTATAACATCGAAGAGAAACATAAGGAATTTGCAATAAAATAATGTGCTTTTTTTCCTGTTTCTAGTATTGGCAATGTGGCTTATATCAGACTAACCCTCTGCCAGATATAGTCCTAAACTCTGGTTAATGTCTGTATAATGCAGACTCTCTCTCTCTTTCTCTCTCTCTTTGTCACACACACACACACGGCAGTGACAGTCCTGAACTGCTTGGTCCCTCGGTTACTTCACGTCTCCCCTAAAGAATTTCCAGGGAGGCCTGACCTGCCTCAGTCCCTTATACAAAACCACAAACCCATCTCTCATCGCTCTTCCCTCTGCCTTTCCCCCATAGCACATGGTACCACCTGACGTTCCCTGTGGGTTTTTTTATTACCTGTCTCCTCGCACTAAGAAGCTCCATGGGGGTTTTTCTCTTTTGTTCCCCACGGTACCCTCAGCACCTAGATTAGTGCCTGGGATGCAGTCGCTGCTCAGGAAATTTTCATGGCGCTAATGAATCCTTTATTTCCTGCTCTCTCTTGCTGTATGATTCTTCAGCAAGAAGGGCCTGTGAATAGCTGGGTCATGGGCGACTTAAAAAATGTCTGCCTCATAGCCCATCATTGAGTCCAACATTCCCTTTGGTTAGTCTCTTACCTTTGTTCCTCCATGTCGGGAAGTCTCTTTGAAAGTGAATGATGTGTCGGATGAAGAGACTCCCCACCTATGACTTCTTCCTGTCACATTCAGGTTTTTATAGAATATCTGTCTTGATCGGGCAGTACGTACCTTAAATGCCATTTTGTTCAGGTAGCGAGGCAGAAAGCCGAGAGGTGATGATCAATTTGAAGGTTGAACTATGCATTCTGACTCAGGACTAACTGGTAATTGACGTTTTGGGGTGGTCACATTGCCATTTGGGAGTGATGTGGCATACGTGGAGAGTTCTGTTGGTGCTAGTTCCTAAAAGAAGGGACTATGTTTTGATTAATTTAGATGCAGTCTTAACCTTATATGCCATTTAATGCAACTTGGTAAAGAGTTTTATCGAGTGGAAGAAACTTCTGTGAAATGAAAACACGTCTTATCTGGACCGTAGTCTTTGAGCCTATGCTGTCAATGGGATAATACATTTGAAAAATGCTCTCCATCGAACCTTAGGAGGAGACCGGCAGAGGAGAGGCATGAGGAAGAGAAGGAGCTGAGTGGCAGACTGCCCTAGCACAGAGATGGAGTGGCATCTGGGGTGGCTGTGAGGTGGCAACGGTTTTTCCCTTTGCCTGTGAATGATAGTTGGGAAATACTAACCAGCATCCCCAAAGTATTTAAGTAATTGGTTATGTACAATAAATTACATTTTTTTACCAAAATGTGTATCAGTTTCCTTCTTCCAAGTCAGGAAATGTCAAAGAAATGGCATTCAAGGATGATGGCCATGGATTAGTAAGGCTGTAACACTTCCTGGCCTTGTTTCTCTTCTCTGGACACCGTGTAGAGTGGACGTGACAGCCCATTTGTGGAGCTGTGGTTCTCGTGTCGTAAGAAATGTGCTACAGTGATCATTTAAGGGAACCCTCCTGCTTGTAAAGGAGACTTTTCCTTACTTATAGTGGCTTGTTTACTGACCTTTCTTTTTTTTTTTTTTAAAGATTGGCACCTGAGCTAACAACTGTTGCCAGTCTTCTTTTTTTTTTTTTTTTTTCTGCTTTTTCTCCCCAAATGCCCCCAGTACGTAGTTGTGTATTATCTAGTTGTGGGTCCTTCTAGTTGTGGCATGTGGGACGCCGCCTCAGCATGGCCTGACCAGCAGTGCCATGCTGGGCCCAGGATCCGAACTAGCAAAACCCTGGGCTGCCTAAGCAGAGCATGCGAGCTTAACCACTCGGCCACAGGGCTGGCCCCTGACCTTTCTTATTGACTGTTTTTTCTAAAAGTTAAGGCAAAGGTGTCAGGTAGTGTATTGGTGGCTATGATAGAAGAATTTTATTTGCATGCTACTTTCTCTACTCTTGTTGTAATACAGATGTTTCCATTAATCAATGTACCAATCAACATTGTATGAATAATAAACAATGTAAATTGTATAAATGAAGGACCAGAAAGATATCACGTACCAATGATGACCACCCTGAACTATGTTCTCTTAAGGCAATTAAATAAGTTCCCTTTGATAAATGGTTATGTTGGCTATCTTTTAACTGCCCAAGGAAAACATAGTTGGAAATTTCTTAATAAAACAAAACTGGTTCGTAGCCTAAAATATTTTTAAAATGCTATAAGGAATCGATAGTTATGAAATTCCATTTTCAGAAAATATTTCCATCTGTGGCCAGCTGAGGCTAAGAGTAAAGAGCTGCACCTAGCTTCATAACTGGCACAAAGTAGATGCACAGTAAATATTTGTTGCCTGTGTAACTGGACGTTGAAGGAACAAGATTGGAGCAGTAAAAGCAGCCAGCCTGCTCTCCCCTTCTTTGCTCTCAAGTCTCTTCCATCTTCTCTCTCTCTCTGGTCACTGTCACATGATTCTCAGGAGCACAGGTGTTTGATAAGCACGGAAACAGTGCTTTTGAAGGGAAGATTGACTGAAAGAAAGTGATATAAGACGGAAAGGATTATTAGTGGAGCCTAGTGTCAATACAGATGTCAAGGCTAGTTAGTGTTTTGTAAATACCCACCACGTACGAGGCAGCGTCTGCTAGTTGCTCTACAATCTAAGATGTTAAGGAAAGTGAAAGTCTGTGTCCCTGTGGTTAAATGTTTGGTTGTCAGCATGCACGAAATAGATCTGACACCATATTAGAAACAGGAAGAAGCAGAAGAAAAGCCAAGGTTCTGTGTGGAACCCAGAGGGCAGACTAAAGAAGCCTTGCTTGCACAGCATATTTCTGCAGAAAATAAGTTGGTCTTTCAGTTGGTGAAATGACTTCTCATTTGGCTGTAATATTCCTCTGGGATGTCTCTCTGAATTCAATAAAACAAAGCTAAAGAAAAACCTATTCTGTTGGAGGGAATATGTAATTAACCCATAGAAATTAGTGCCATCCAGTATATTACTGAGGAAAAAGGATTAAATACTGGTATGAGTAAAAATAGTATCTATTATTGTTCTCCCTGGGATAAAATTATAAGGACTGTCAATCATCCAGCTTGAGGGTCTCGTTTATTATTGGCTGGGTTGGGAACAGTGCTGTCTGTCTCCCTATTACATAATGGTCCACAATTAGAAGAATAGTGGGATTTTTTTTTTTGCCCCTTTTCTCAGAAGGGTCTGGTGTGAGATGCTACATGAACAGAAAAGGTAGTTATGGTTGTTTTGGAATTGTGTTTGGTATATATTTAAATGCCGTTAGAGTGATTTGTATACCTTTTAGAATTTCTTCCTGGAAATTGCATGCTACTTTGAGTTTAATATGCCCTTGGCTTGCAGCTAGACCCCTGGACCAGAACTGGGACACTGGTTCTAGTCCTCGGTCTGCCTTTGACTGTTGTGGTCATTTTAATGACTTCATTCATAAGTATTGACTGCATTTTCCTGCATTAAGTTCCAGCAAGACAAAAAGGAATAAACACTGGTTCCTGTCCTTAAGGAATCAATTTAGTTGGAGGATCATCCATAGAAGTATAATGATAATGTGTATGGACCATTTTGTGACATAGGGAAGGAACCCAAACCATCCTTGGCGGGAGCAGTGGGGAAGACTTCCTGGAGGAGGCGATGTCTGAACTCTGTAGAAGTTGCCACCCTGGGGGATCAGGGGCTTTGTGGGGTGTTTGGACCAGAGGCAGTGCACAGTGAGTCAGATGGTACTCAGGTATGTTCAGAGGCGTTCCCGGTCCAGGAGGTGGCCCTGGACGGGGAGGCAGGAGATGAAGCTGCAAGAAGGAGATCTCTAGATCTGTTTCTGTGCCTGAAAATGAGGCAGTGTTACTATTAGAAGACTTCTAAGAAACTCACATTTTGTTGGAAGGTTTCACGTTGCTGCCGGAGGAGAGGAAAAACTTGTCTTTTTCTCCTTTAGCCAGCTTAGGTTCAGTGGCTGGGCCCCGTAAATTACACTGACAAAAGACAGATTAACAAGGGAACAGTAAATACAAGTTTATTAACATGTACAGCTCACCCAGTGATGAGTAAATCAAAGGAGTGGTTAGGATTTGTGGTCTGTATACCTAATTTAGTAGGGGAAAGGGAGGCGGAGAAAGGATACTTTTGGGAGAGTAAGTGACTTTCTGGAAAGATAAATGGGCCCTTAGGAGAATAGAAGGGGCAGGTGTGATAGTTTGGGACAAAGTCTGTCCCGGTGTGGTGCTGACCTCTCCTCTCCAAGAGAAGTTCACTCGCTCCCAGGGGTGGGGTTGATGACAGTTGAGTTCTTTTGAGAGGTTCTCCTTTTAGGCAGATACAGAATTTCAGGATGCCTTCCACTCAAGATAATTCTGATGTCAAAGTGGCGTATTTTGGAGTGTCGTATCCTGATCCCCTTTGCCACTTCTTGGTTAATAACATATTAACCTGCCAGTCCACCTTTTTAGGACCTTGAGGGCTGGGTATTTATTGTCTGGAGTTTGGCAGCATTTTGAACAAGGACGTCTTAAATTAGGCTTGGTATGACTCATGTTTGAGTTCTCAGACTCTTCCCTGTGTCTTCCTTTCTGTATCTGCCGGTCTTAGTCTCTGTGTCTGTCTTATTGCGAAAGCTTCCATGTGGCTCTTTCTGCCCCTTCTTAATCTGTCTTCTGGAATTTATCTCTGCGTCTGTCTCCTTTGGACTTAAATGTGCATTTCTATTTTCTCTGATCCTTCCCCTGTTCTCGTCCCCCTTATTTGTAGATGTCCCACACTTTTGGCTGGATTTGTCCCTGTACATATTCTCAGGTGCACCTTGACGGACATGGTTTGTATTTTCATCATTTTGCCTTAGTGAGAAATATGCATATATAAGAAATAGAAGTGAGCATGTTTTTAAGGTTAAATCACCTGGATAAGGAATCTCTATCCGTTTTTGTAATTCTCTGGAAGCAGATGCGAAGGTGTAAATAGATTCACTGTTGAAGGGCAGTACGTTGGATTCTGACTGTATTTAGCCCCATCCCTCCCCCAAGAGTTGGTGGGGCAGCCAGGGGAGCTTTGTCCCGGCGCTCGAGCTGACAGATGATTCGTGGTATAATGGAATTAAACGTGTTGGATGGCTAGGCTCCTCTTTTTGTTTTTTACAATAATTGCATACTGTTGCTTTGTCTTTATCCTTAATAGACTAAGAATTATACGAAGTCTTTTTGAGGAAGAACTTTTTCTGTATGTTGAGATATCCCTTCTCTGGTTTTTGTTGTTACGGAATATATGTAAGGCATAGCTGCGTATTTTCATAGTAATTTTGATCTACGTTAAGACGTTGGTTACCAAAAGGAAATAGGTCACGTTAACGCGTTATTAGTTATTTTGATAATTTCTTCTTCCCAGTGGGTGCTAGTCCAAACATTTTGATGTTTCTTCCTGGTCATGGCCCTGCCTACTCCATGAAAGAAGAGCTTCTCTACATTTAGCTAGAAAAAATATTCTTGGAGGAGAGGCCTGGACTGCTGGTTTGTGTGCATGTGTGTGTGTACGTGTGTATATGTGTAGATTCTAACCGAATCTGGAAATTAAAGCAATTGAAAGTGAGAACTGTCTCTTCTCAGTAAACATTTTTTATCTCAGCTTAAAGGCCTGTCCTGGCCCCGTAGATCTGGTTGCACCCCCGGGCCCCCCAGCACACTGTGTGTAATTACTCACACAGCGTTGGGCGCCCTGTGGCGAGACCGTGGCAGTCTTGTTTATTGTTGTGTCTCTCGCCGTGCTGGACACCCAGACTGCCCCCTGCAGCTACACGCCCTGATCGTGTGGTCGTGAGGATTAAATGAGATGGTAAACACCTCAGAGTAGCGACTGACCACGGTAATCAGCGAATATCGAGCTCTTATTAAAAATTCATCAGTGTGTGGTCTTAATCCAGAAGAGACCAGTAGTTAAGATTCACTAGGTCTTTCTTCTCCCTTCTTTCTCAGCATTTTTATTTATTCATATTTCTACAATTGTTCATCGCCAGGGACATTAAATAAATGGTTTATTGAATCAGCTGTTTTGATACTTTAGACTCATATTTGTGTGTGTATATAAAAATATATATATGCCTATTATATACAGTCATGTGCCAAATAATGATTTTTTTTTTTAAGTGAGGAAGATTGGCTCTGAGCTAACATCTCTTGCCAACTTCCTCTCTTTCTTTTTTCTTTTCTGCCCACAGTGCCAGTATATAGATGTATATCCTAGTTGTAGGTGATTCTAGTTCTTCTTTGTGGGATGCTGCTACAGCGTGGCTTGGTGAGCGATGTGTAGGTCTGCGCCCAGGATCCCATCTGGCAAACCCTGGGCCACCAAAGTGAAACATGCGAACTTAACCACTCGGCCACAGGGCTGGCCCCCATAATGATGTTTTGATTAACGATGGACCACATATACCATGGTGGTCCCATGAGATTAGTACCATGTGTCCTAGGTGTGCAGTAGGCTGTACCATCTAGGTTTGTGTAAGTGCATTCCATGATGTTTGCACAATGACAAAATCACCTCACAGTGCATTTCTCAGAACGTATCCCCGTCGTTAAGTGACTCATGACTGTATACATATGTATCTCTCTATATAATGCTTTCCCCATTTCTTCTCTAAGAAATTGCTGTCAGCACTAGTACTCACCACAGTGCCTGGAGGTACTCAATGAACGGAAAGGCATTCACGTCCAGTCATTAGTTACTGGATGCCCAGGCTGGTGATGTTCTCCAGATGCCCGTAGGATGTTTTCCTCTCAGCTCCCTGTCACTCTGAGTCCATTCATTTCAGGAACTTTGTGCTCACTGCAGCTATGACTGTAATTGCAATCAAATAATAGTTTCCAGTGTCACACTTAAAAGTGAGTTCTTACTAATTTAGCTTTACAAATTATGTAAACAATATATTCTCATTATGGAAAAAGCAGAAAGTATGAATGAGCAAAAAAAATGTAAAAATTACAGTCTTCATTAGTTGCGCTATTAGCTCCTAGAATAGCTCCTGGTACACAGTACCCATGGCGATAAATAATTGTTGAATGAGGGGATGAATAAATGAACCCGGGGCCTTGTAGTGGGTAGCCTGCAGAGGACGTAGGGGCACAGCTGTTTACATCTGGGAGAAATTAATCAGGTAAAACTTAAAGAACAGGTGTGCAATCTTACTTTTTAGTTGTTAAAATGAGTTTTAAATAATGTGTGTTATGATTACTCTGCTAAAAAACTTCAGTTGATGGAAGCACCAAGAAACAGTATAGATCGTTGTAATGTTGGACAGTACTTTATGTCTGGATAAGTGCTGAGACCCGGTAAACACCACTGAGATGAAGCGCTCTGCTTCTGGTGGCTGGTGGCGCCTCCGTTTCTGTAACCGTGGGCAGTATGCCAGCAAACAGATCACATTCATTTACACTGTGCTTCTGCAAAAATCAACTGCAGATTAGCAATCAGAACACCATATTTTTTGCTAGTGATGATTATTTGATAAAAATTTTAAAGGGAAATGTGCTGAGTTTTCCAGGTCTCCCGTACCTGCACCTGGAACTTCGTAAGTTGAAAACCATCTGTGTCTTTGGCATTCTCCGAGTGTGAGCTGCCAGTCCAGCAGGCACACCAGGTCTGGACTGCTGCATCCACAGCTCTGGCCTCTTTCCACCCCAAGCCTTGCTCTCTCTTAACTCAGTGGAGATGAATGATGTAGCCAGAGTTGTCCATCCTCCTTCTCTCTCTTTCTTTCATAGCTTAGTTTCCACTTCAGACAAGTTTTTGGGTTTTTTTTCTCATTTATACATACTGTTAAAAAACAAAATTCACTGGAGCAAATTTGCAGATCTTATTGGCTTTATTGAATGGTTCATGAATCGGTCAGCATCCCATCTAGCAAACAGAAAGGAACTCTGAAGAGCTGTACAGAAGGGGAGACTTTGAAAGGCAGAAGGGGGCAGGGACCAGGAAAGAGCAGATGGGCTCATCTTTCCTTGGGGGATGGAAGGGGTCTGTCAGGTGGATTACCTCACTACCGCTGACCAGGAACTTCCAGATTGACAGGTTTCAGATTAATCCCTGGGAGAGGTTGAAACGACATCTGGGTTAGGTCTTCGGTCTTGGTTTGCTGACATGGGGCTTAGCACAGACTCCATGTGGGGCCTGTTGTTTCTTTTTCACAATACGTGTCTCTTCCTTCCTTCTTTTTTGATCTTCAGCCTCTCCTGTTTTCCTTTTTACTCTTTCTCTTTGTGTACCAAAAAATCTCCCCTGATTATAGTTGAAAAACATGGTTAGAACTTGTGACTCTTACCTATCAAGGAATTTCAGAACTATAAATTTTGAAGTAAAGTGAGACTTACGTGCAGTGTCCTCAGTGTGCAGAGCTCTTGCAAGCTCTGTAGAAATGTTCAAATGGTCTTTCTCTCCAATTGAACATGCTTTTCCTAAACAAATTTAAACTGATAGTTCTCTACATAATAATAGTTAGTGTATTATTATCAGCTGGCAGCAAAAGAGTGGGTATTGAAACCAGGATATTTTATTAAAAATGAAACATATTATAACAGATAATTGAGTTAACAGAAGCCAGACATGAAAATAATCCCCAAAGTTTGCTGTTAAATGATCCTTTTTTTTTACTCAAACCTCCCAAACCGTGTTTTGCTTCAAACACCAGACTTAAAGAGAAGTAAATATTTCTCACATAATTTCCATTAGTGTTTTGTTTTTGTTTAATGTCTAATATTGCTGCTAGAATGGATATTGCAAAGGAAAACATTTTCTGCATTGAAACACATGTATAGTATTTTATTCACATATGGGTCATACAGAATTTTGTGGACTAGTTTAGAAACCCAAGTTTTCTTTATAACATTGAATATTAGGGGAAATGCCTTCTCAGTTGGGAGCTGCCTAATTTGCAAGCCGACAAGGGGCTTTTACTTTGTACTGTGTTGAAATGTGATCCAGAAGCATCTAGATCATCTAACATACAGTAAAGAAGAAAAGATTTTTGC